TGTAGATTTGTCTATATGAGAGAAATCTATACTATAGAGAAGTCTATGTTTCTGTTGCACATTGAAGGTGCATCTACACAGCAGGGCTTAACTCAAAATAAGCTACGCAAACTGAGCTACATATCGATAGCGTAACTTATTTCAAAATAGCTTATTTTGAAATTGGAAGCATCTGCACAACATTTATTTGAAATAGAGCACTCTTCCTCCGACTTCTCTTACTCCTCGTAAAATGAGGGTTACAGGAGTCGGAATAAGAAGTCTTCCACCTTGACAATATTTCAGCTTTATTCGGAAATAACTGCCTGTTGTATAGACATAGCCTGATATGCCTGTGAATACATTGTGATAGTGTAGCTGATGCCTATGGTTATGCCTATTTAAGAAGTTACCTAACACTTCACATATTCCAGTTCCTATTTTAAGTTATAATTTTGCTAAACTTAAACAAATTTCAAATTTCTCTGCTTTCTCTACCTCAGGCTGCTTTTTAAAATTTCAGTAAAAAACAGCCATTTCGGAGAAACAGATTGGGAAAGATTGGCAGTTTTACCAGTCTTAATTTTTTCCTCTGCCATTTCTCTGAAGGATTCTAATTCTTAATTGGTTTGGCAACGAGACTTGAAATGTTGATGTCTTGTGGTCAATAAGACTTCTTTTGCTGTCCCTATGAAAATCTCTCCAGATTTTAATGAATTATAAACCTCTGAAAATTGCCATTTCCACATGCTGCTAAAATCTCTAGATATTCCATCTGCACCAGTCCTGCTGTGGCCCCACAACTTTCTGCATGCTAACTATAGTCTGTATACTCTAGCTCCTCAAAACTCCTACTTGCTCCCTGGTGCCACTCTACTTCCTACTTGTAAGGCACAGCTAGAGCTCCAAGATGTATCATATATACTAAGCAGTAGGGCTTCCTGCCCTGTTGGGCTCAGAGACATGAAGAGAATTCTATAGACTTGTGTTCTGTGCACTTCAAAGTACTTATTATTGGTCATCGCTTCACATTCCTATTTTAGGAGGACGGAAAGTATCATTCTGCCCCCCTCTCCATTTGAGAGGTTACACAAGGTCACTGCTGGCACATTAGAGACTAAAACTCAGGTGTCTGATATGGCAGGAACAAATCTTACCAGTTTAACCACACTGCCTTTCAAAGTGAAAGTACCAGTTTCATGTGCTTGGTAATGTTGTCTGAACCACTAGAACACATTCCCCCAGAGTCTGGAATAGAACCTGGAACTTCTGATTCCCAAAATCTTTCTGCTGCCTAGCAAAATGTTTTCAATACGCTACTGGCAAAGTATGTTTGGCATCCCCCACTAGTGTCTGCTCCACACAGAGGATAATAGCCCACTACTCCTACCAGTCACTTCTTTAGCTCAATTTATAGAGATCAGTGCTATTGTTCTAAATGTGTTGAGTTCAGACCTTGCAGATGACTCATATGGAGGGTCAGTATAGCTCCAGATGGACCATCAATTTACTAAAGAAATCCCTAGGGAATTACAGACAAAACAGTACAATAAAAGTCTTTCATTACATGATTATGACTGTTTCTTCTACAAAACACCTTCTTCCTCAGAATAGCATGACTAAGGCAGAGAGTGAAATGAAGAGGCCGGACATTCTCTTTTGCTTAAGACACTGGAGTGGGACTAGGAGAACTTAACCTGCTATAGACTACCCAGCCAAGACTATAAAACTATACATCCACAAAAGGTCCAAATTACTGTTTCGTGGGCAACTTTGATTGTTTCATATGTATAAAAATATACATCCACAAAAAGTCCAAATTACTGTTTCGTGGGCAACTTTGATTGTTTCATATCCTAACTTTTACCCTTTGTAACATTAATATTCCTTTAATGTAGTTTTGGATATATAATAACTTTATTTTTATTTTTAGCTGACAGTTTAGATACTTATAACATTGTATGTGTTTTGTGCATTGTTAGGAAATAACAAAGGTGGCCTTGAAGTTAAATGTTCCAGAACAACATTTTCTGCTGAACTATCTGACTGGAATAAATTGCAGCAAAAGATATTGAGTTAGTTGTGTTTAGGAAGTCTGCTGCCACCAATAAGATATAAGCAAATTTAATCAAAATTTATACATGGTAAGAGTAAAGGGGAATAATCTTTGATATCCTCCAGGTAAAATTATACATGAAAGAATTAGATCGTGGTTTTGGGAGGTATGTATTTAATTTAAGATATTACTTTCACCCTAAATGTATATAATTTACTTTATCTTCTACTTTTTGCAGAGATGGGAGGAATAACAAGAATATACAGAAGCCTTCTTTAGAACTCTTGGCATTTATTCAGTTCTGTGTGTTCTGGAAGTCGTATAGCAGATTATCTTTTCTGAAGTAAACCCAGTCTAAATGTCATCTTGGCTAATCTTCAAAAGCTCAGATTTCTTCCTAATTATGAAATCAATGATGGACAGGTGATAGCTGTAATAAATAGTTTCAGATGTATTAAAAAAATAAATTCCAGATGTAGTATGAACTTTATTCACTTTGCAGTGCTTCGCTAGGACACATCTTTAAATGACTTCACTGTATAAATATTATGTGGGATTTTATTCAATAAAACATATTGTACTCATGTGGTCTCTCTTTGCTTTTTTCTGTTTTGGGAAAAGTCCAAAGAAATCCTTATTTGGTAACTATACATTTTAAACAAAAATAATGATGAAGCAGCAAAACTGATCTGTGTGTCAAAATGAACAGTGGTTGCACACTTTCTGACATTGGAGCCACATGGCCAGGGCAGGACTTGGGAAACATGGGATCAGTTCCCAGTCCACCACAGCGGAGCCACATGGCTAGGGTAGGACTAGGGAAACATGGGATCAGTTCCCAGTCCACCACAGACCTCCTGTGCTACCTTGTGTTCTCTGTGCCTCAGTTCCCTATCTGTAAACATGTTGATAATAGCACTGCCCTACTTCATAGGTATAAATAGGTGGGGATAAATGCATTAGAGAGAGCGAAGCATATTGAGATCTATTGATGAAAAGTGCCATATAAGAACTTGATATTATTTTTATTGTATAACCACTGTCATTTGTCTTTTTCATCAGTATAATGGTCTCCTATAGAAGATCCTAAAATACTGTTTCTTCTGCTCTGTCTTCCAAATTGATTAAGAATTTTGCAGTGGGAGGGGAGGTACTGATACAGCCCTGTGTGGTTGTAGAGATGATGGGTTCCATTGTTCATTCTCTCTCTTTCTTTCTTTCTCTTTCTCAGTCTCCCAGTGTCTTTGTGTTTCAGCTGTTTTCACCTGTAGCTATAGGATATACGCCGATGGTGAATAAACAATGCTAAGTGATCAAAAGAAGGGCAATCATCAGGTCTTTTCCAAAAGGACATGAGTGCTAGGAGGAACTGTGCAGGTGCCACTGTCTGTTAGGGTGTGTCTAAACTACATGGCTCCATCGATGGAGCCATGTAGATTAGGCTGATCGGCAAAGGGAAATGAAGCCGCGATTTAAATAATTGCGGCTTCATTTAAATTTAAATGGCTGCCACGCTGAGCCGACAAACAGCTGATCAGCTGTTTGTTGGC